AAAGTACACTGTTAAATCGGCATATAGGCTGTTCTACAAGGAGCTAGCAAGTAAACCACCAGTTATTGAGGAAATGGAGGAAATAGCTGAAGAGAATGAGGAGGAAACAGGTGTGAACCAAGAGATTGAAGTCTATGATCCAATGAATTGGAAGCGAATGTGGAAGCTGATGATCCCACCCAAAATCAAAATCTTCCTATGGAAGCTAATCCATAACATTCTGCCTACAGGGAAGAATATCGAAAAAAGGAAGAAGGAGGCACCCACTGAATGTCCGTTTTGCAACCTAGAAGAAACCCAGAACCACATTTTCAAAGAATGTCAATGGGCAACCAGAATCTGGTGTCCAACAAGTTTCAGACACCTTTTCGAGCTTGAGCCCGACATCTCTACTGGGAGTTGGTTCTGCGAGGTTATGGAAAGGGTGGATGATGACACCCTAGGTCAGGTCAGTGTAATCCTATGGTCAATTTGGAATGAACGGAACAATCACTTGTTCAACAACAGGAAGGCACAGGAAGGGGAAATCGTGGGGAAAGCCCTAAATTACTGGGAAGAATTCAGGGATATTCACACCAAGGAGCAATAATCTAGGGAAAGGGAAAGACACACCTGGGAATCGCCGCCGGTGGGGTGGATCAAGGTGAATGTGGACGCGACGGTGTTCAAGGATGAAGGAACCGATCTTGGTGTGGTGGCTCGCGACGAAAAAGGGCAATTCTTGATGGCAGCGGTTTGCAGAGATCGCACCCAATGACCCCCGGAGCTGGCTGAGTTAAAGGCAATCGACTTTGGTCTGAAGCAAGTGGAGAGATGTGGATACCAAGCAGCCATCGTCGAAACCGACTGCCAAAGCGCATTTCTCGCTCTGAAGCAGAAGGAGGTGTTGAGATTGGAAGCTGGAGCGATGGTCGCGGATCTACAGACCACGGCCAGGAGATTGGGCTTGGTCCAATGGAGTTTTGCTCGAAGAGAATGTAACGGAGCGGCTCACCTGCTGGCCCACTCAACATGTAACTGGGATACCCAAGTAATTTGGGAAGCCCAGCCACCCTTAGCCTTGTTACCTTTTCTTGATTCTGAGCCCGTGAGGCACTAATAATATGCAGGTCTGATTATCAAAAAAAAAAAAAAATCTCCACTCTATAAAGAAATACAAAATTTAAAACTGAAAAAAGTAGAAAGTAGGCGACTGTTGGGCTAGATTATGGCAGGGGATGGCGGGTTGGATCCGGTGCTTAAGCCTAGAAGTTTAAGCATATGCTTAAAACATTTCTATTGGCTTACAGGAATTTAGTTAGTTTAAGGAAGGTAAGTAGTTAGTAGGTTGTTAAGGGTAAATGAGGTATTATGAGAAAATAATTAATGTCATTAATAATTAGAACAATTGTTCTCTTTCCTAAACTCATAACTAATTGAAAATTCGGAACTATTTAATTAATTGTTATTATCTAATATTTATTCAAATTATAAATTATAACTTGGAATCCAAATTTAATATTTAAGATTTTAAAAATCCCAATTTAATATCTGTAGCGACTTCCGTTAGTGTTATCAATGTTTTCAATGATATTATTAATGTTTTTGACATGAATTATTATTGATATACTCCATCATTATTAACTATTTCAATATACTTATCAATGCTTTACGATAACATTATTAACAATTTTGGATCGATTATTACTGATTTACATTTTAGTCGTCAACACTTATGAAGAAATTATTAAAATTATACCACATAATTAGTAATGATTCGAATAACATTTTTCACTGATTTGCAACATTTTGTATTAACAATACTTGCATAAAATTAATAATTTCTTCATAATCGCTGATAATAATAAATAAACGATATTATACTTTATGAACATCTAAATAAAGCTGTTATGAGAATTTGAAAATGTTAATAATGATTCTCCATAATAATACATTAGCATATAATAAAAAATTTCTTCCATCCAATTTGATAATGATGATGCATAAAATTGATAATTCCTTCACAAACCCTAATAGCAATAAAAAGATCTTTAATTACTTTCTAATTCTACGTTAATAAACTTAACTTGAAATTTGCAAACGTTAATAATGATTCTATTCGTTGTTGATAATTACCTTTAGATGAATAATAATAATTCTGCATATCATTGATAATAGGTTGCATCCGGGTTTATATTATTATTAATTGATAATGGTTAAAAAACACTAAAATTGATTCAGAATCATGAATAAATACATTTGTTTCAAAAAAGTAAATAATAAATAATCATTAATATTATTGATAACTCATATGCTTCTGGTTGCTTCCGGTTTGGCAGGTTGCACCATGTCGTTAACCTACACAAAGAAAAATCCCAACAAATATATGTTATTACTACATTAGTAATTCAATATAAATAAATGAGTTCCTTTCTTTTAAAATCACCAACAAAAAAAATATATTGAAACATTGATTTCAACACTCTAAATCGTTAATAACAAAGTTGTGTTTCGTTGAAAATACAATAAGTATACTTATTATTGATATACCCCGTCATTATTAACAAATTCAATACACTTATCAATGCTTTCAGATTGCATTGTTAACGATTTAAGACAAATTGTTAACGATTTATATTTTTTGTCATCAAGCTAATGAAGGTATTATTAAAGTTATGTCGGATCATTATTAACTGTTTGAATAACATTATCATTCATTTACAACATATTTGTTAACTATTCACGTTTTCAATTCATGCTCGTAAGTAGACAATTGTTCAAAAGGAAAGCACTAAACTTTAACAAAGCTTGGCGCCTATATCATTAAAAAAATTCTGAACAAAAGTGAAAAAAATAGGAAACAAATTTGATAATGACGTTATAACTCATTAAGACTATACCTATGTTCTATTAATAATTCACTACAGATGCTACCTTGAGGCCTAGGTTTTGTCACTCCGTATGATGGTGGTGGAGGAGCCGCCAGGGGCATGCGGAGAGACCAATAGCAGGAAGCTACTGGAGAAAGCAGTCTGGAACTTGTTTTGCCTCCGGCCAACAGAAAGAACTCTGCGACCACTACGCACAATCGTCCCCTGACGATGACCCCGTACGAAATCGACCAGCCGCCTAAACTCCAGGAGCAAGTCGACTAGCTTCCTCTTCGACGGTGAAGCGAAGAATCTGATCGGATATTGACGGCGAGCGGCACTGAGCGAAGACGGCGAGTGGGAGCGGAACGGTGCTGGGAAGAGAAGAGTGAAGGCCGACGAAACAATAAGCCCTACCCGGCGGCTTTTGGGTTTAATTGGGGTAAACGGGAAGTTTTATAATAATTATGGTATTATATTAAAATTTATAGAATTAATTACACCATTTACTTGAATACCCCTAACCGCCTACTAACTATTAACTTCTTATTAACCACCTAATCTCCCAACATCCAATAGAATTTCTTTAAGCATATGCTTAAACTTTTGGGCTTAAGCACATGAACTTAGGCCTAGGGAATGGATCAGGTCAGTAACCTTATGGTGAGTAACTATGAGTAACCCGCCCACATCAGCATGACATCAGCATCCTCTCTCTCCTGGAAAGCCTTTAATTTTCCCCTCCTTAATCTTTGACGGACGATTTCTCACTCGTTTTAAGTCGAAATTTAATTTTTTTTGCACAGTTAGATCAGATTAATTGTGCTCTTCAAAATGATATCCACTTTGATATATTTTTCGAACAAAAAAAATTGAGTCATTTTATACCAGTCTATACCATATGGTATTGACTGGTATTGAAATAAGAGCATACCTATGGTTTGAAAAGCGTACCATGGTGGTATGGCACAAACCAAGACTGTAGGATGATTGAATACATGATAGTAGAAGTATATTAATTGTCATTTACGACTTTTAACATTGTATACCATAAAATACCATAAAATACCACTCCGTACCATGGTGGTATTGTATGGTATTGTGTGGTATTTTTTGGTCTTGTAATTTGTTCACCCAGGAATTTGTAGATCAAATAGATCATGATGAACTCGTCCCTGCTGTGCAAACGTTTTCAAAAACGAATGAAAAACGAAGAAAATACCATATGGTATGCAGTTGGTACCGAAAAGCCAGAATTTTTTTTCCTCAAAAAATATTGAGAATTGATCTCATTTTGTAGAGCACGATGAACTCGTTCCATCTGTGCAAAAAAAATTAAAATCCGAGTTAAAACGAAAAAGATATGAGTCAATTAAGAAAACTAGTGAAAATAAAAATGGTCTTTAATTCTCCATCCTTAGATCTGGATTTTCTAAATGAAGGGTCCAGATTTGATTATTGATGGGTGCATAACCATGGGTTATGCACCCTATCTTGAGCCCAGGGAATGGGAATAAAAATGAGAATTGTAATTTTATTTCCTTTTTTATGTATGTATTCTTACCATTCTCGTTTCCTTGTTCTTTACTTTGAAACTAGTTTTCATTGCCCGCGCTACGCGCTGAGATTTGTGTACAAATTAGGGATCCATACGCTCATTATCCTCTAATCTTTTAATTTCAGTCTCCAAATTGATCAAATATTGGATATCTATACATATGGCATCAGTAAGCTATTATGCATGGTTACACATGACTTAAATTTTAATGCTCAACTCAACACTACTCAATCTTTAATAGTAAGGAGTATGAACCTACAATTGTACCCACTTGTCCAACGTCCAAAAGTGTTGTTTACTTCCTTGCGCTACGCAGATCACACAAACAAAGAGGAATGTAAATAAAATTATGCGAATTGCCAACTATCACAAGGGGACTACCACGATGAAGCAATCGTCATATGTTCCAGATCAAAATTATAGCAAATGAAAAACCCAAAACTTTGGACCATCTATAACATAGTATTATTACAACTCACAATCTCTCATACAATACAACAGCCTGTAAATACACATGCACAAAGAAGAGTTACCAAGAAGATTAAAAGAATAACCTAAGCGATCAATAGACACATTCAAACATATAAGAAAACAACATATAATCAATAGATACCCGAAACATCGAGAAGATTAAATAGAAGAGTACAAAGTGGAAGAAATATGATATCAGATATGACCCAGGCTAAGCATTCACTCAACTTACACAATAAAAAATCAAAGAAAAAAAGGATAAATCACTAAAAATAGTCCAAGCTAAAGGAAACTACTGTTAACAAATAAGAAAAGGAAGAACACAGGCATTGTTGGACGCATATTCCCAGAAACAATTTTCAGCGAGGAAAGAGAATGACAGACCATGAGAAGCTCAAGAATCCACAAACTTTCAAACAAAACCTTAAACTTCAACGATTGAGAAGGGCGAGCGGAAGGCCATCTATCTTTCAATTAATGTAATCTAAATCGGTTCCTGGCTCGTTAAATTTCCCCTGCATCTTTCTTTTGTGTAGCACCACTTTCTGGAGATCCGCTCGGTTCACGGTGAGGTTTTGTTTGAAGGGTTTGCTTACCCTTCTCAATCACTGAAGCTTAAGAATCCACAAAACTGCAAGTAGAAGGGGAAATAGAAGGGAATCACCATCACATAGAGTAAGAGACAAAAGGGGGAAAAAGAGATCAGAGCTCACAGGAATACGTAGATCTTGGAGAACGATAAACGGAAAATAGAAATAGACCGTCGGAATTCCAAATGGCGACCACATCGTCGTTCCAACAGCAACTTAAGCCGACAAAAACAGCAGAATCCACAAAACTGGTAACAGGGAAACCAATCGAGTCAAATATAAGACACAAAACATTTATACAACCAGTTAATTCACCTTTTCTGCTTAGATTTGCTGGTTTTACTGACGCAGTGGCTGATGTTGAGACACAGAGGGTTGGAGATGTAACTTTGGCAATTGGCTCCTAAAACCATATGTTCATCACTGATGAGATCTAAACGATGCTGTGTTGGCCACCAATTTGATCGACGTTGTCTTGTTCACCCTCAGGCCACATCCTCCACCTGGTCACACAAGTCGATCAACTGCAAGTCACGAAAACGGCAGACCCTCAACTCTCTGTCGTCTGGGCATCCTCTTAGTTTCCTGATTTGAAACTGGGGTGAGAAAGAGAGCTATCAAGAGTAGTTTTTTTTCCCCCCACCCGCAAGTGATACGGGAAGGAAGAGAGCATGGAGGAAAGAGAAAACTAAGGCAACTGGTGAAAGAGAGTGTCGCCATCTCTACTTCTATCTCCTGCTTGTCTAGTGATGGAAACCAATGAGATAGAAAAGCAGGCATAGAGAAGCGAGTCAGTTAGGTAAAATGAGTGGTCAAAACCTAAAGAATTACGTGGCCCCTGACTGACCAAGTATTTACCATAAAATATCTCTGCTTTCCTCATTTCCCAAGAGGTTAACTCGTTGGACAATGCGACCTCATCAGGGCCCCGCAAATGCTGCCAGACATACCCACTTTCTAGCCAACCAGAGGTCCCATCATCGTCCAAACAGAACCACGGCTTTAGAAGCTGACCAGAGACCACCATACACCTGCCCACACAGAAGCCCAATCCGAGTTGAAACAGTAGTTATGAGTCTGGATGTACAGTAAAAGGTCTCTTGGTGCATAGGAATTGCCTCTGCTGGGGGTTTTCTTTTTTCAATTTTAATTGACAAAACATAAAAGGCAGGTGTACAGCGGTTGAACTTCCGTTTTTTTTACTTCCGGGACCGGCCGTTGAAATTTCCATCCTTTTGACGTCATTTCAAACGTCAAGGGTGCAATTTACCACCGGTAAGAAATTTCAGGACTACCAGTTGGAAATTGGATTGGAAAAGAAGGTTCAAGGTGCCCTGGTTTTGTTTTTCTTGCATATTGGGTCAAAAGCTTTGCCTGCAATTTCCCTTTCGTCAGTCTGGCGGCATTTCTACATTGGACTGCTCGCTCGCTGGCTGGCTCAATGGAACTTTTTACTACTGCATCGGATTCTGAGACTGCACTCGGCATTTACTATCAGCGTGCCCCGATTCCCAGGAAGAAATCCCAAGCGGAGAGCAGGCTCTGCTCCTCAGTTTCTTCCTCACCGGCAAAACCCCAAGGGGGTTTAACGAATCCCCACAGCTTTCATTCAAAGTGAAGTTCTTCAATCTGGATATGCAAGAGAGGAAGAGAAGTTGTTCCGGTTTAGCGATCAAGAGGTGAAGAGTTATTTCTGTCTTGTTGGGTACCTGGCTTTTCCCGGTTTACCCGTGGACTGTTCTTTTACCCCCTGTTTTCCCCGTTTATGGTGAGCTATTGATTGAGCTTTGTTGTGTTCCCACATAAGCTTGCTTGTAAAGCAAAGCCCTTTTCACCCAATTTCGTTTCATTGTCGCCTTTCCAAATCGAACCAATCAAACATACAACCACCATTTCTCCACGCAAAGTAACATCCTTTCCCTTTCTTCATCCTACTAATCCCCCACACCTTTCTAACTCATATGTATGCCAGAAAGATTGTTCCTTTCTTCATCGCTTTACTTCTATGACTCGTGCTTTTTGGCTGCTCGACTCTTTTCCTGTACTGTTTAGTGGGATAGCCTAGGATTTTCCTAGTGTAGAAATGCGTGATGACATTGGTGTTATTGTTTCCAATGTTGCATTTGGTATTGATTGAGTGAGAAGAAAGGGATTTTATACTAGGACTCTCCCCTACTGATGAATTTTTAAATGAGAAGGGTTTCCTGAATGAGCTTCCATTCCTTTATTTCAGCTGTTGTTGCAGATGGGTTCTGTGTTTTCGAGTTTGTTGATGTTCTAGGAGCCCCTCATTCTTCATGGAGACTGCTTTGAGCAAATGGGTGTTGGCATTTACTATCTCCTGGTGGATGATCTTCTTTGTTGGGCACTCTTGTGAGTTTTGTTCCTCCATTTTCCCCCTAAAGTTCCTTCCTTTATTTTGATTATGCTCTGAGAATGCCATCTGTTCTAAAACTTAACTCAAGCCGGTTTTCTTAGTGGAAGGACTTCCTGGTGATGCCAAAGTTAAAGGAGTGAATTTGGGTGGCTGGTTGGTTGTGGAAGGTTGGATTAAGCCTTCTCTGTTTGATGGCATTCCCAATGGAGACATGCTTGTGAGCATCTTTGTTTCCCCCCTAGTTTTTGGCTGTGTTTTAGGGTGTCTTGAGCAAAATGTCTAATTTCTTGATGACGTGCCAACATATAGGATGGTACAGAAGTTCAATTCAAGTCGGTGACATTGCAGAGATATATCTCCGCAGAGAATGGTGGTGGCATGGGTGTCTCTGTTGGTAAAGATTCTCCATCCGCCTGGGAAACTTTCAGGGTGAGATTCTCAAATAAATTGCTTAGCTCCCTATGCATAGACATCCTTCTAACTATGTCACTACTTCACATTTGCTTCAAGTCATCTTAGTCAATTTCATTATTCCCAGTTATGGAGGCTTTCGGCATCAGAATTTCAGCTCCGCACTTCGCAAGGGCAGTTACTAGCATGTGATGGTCAAGGGTGTACTGTAACTGCAACTGCAAATTCATCTTCAGATGGGGAAACTTTTCATATCGAAAGGAACAACAATGACAGAGTTCACCTGAAACTTTCCAGTGGAGCCTATTTGCAGGTATGGTTTGATTCAATGTTATGTTATAGGAAAATCTGTAGGTAGAAATATCAGTACTTAGCAATCCGAGAAGATCATAGTTGTATTGCATGATAGGACATATGCTATTTTTTAGGCTACAATTGGAAATCAGCTCACGGCAGACTATCCAGGAACACCGGGATGGGACGATAATGCAGCCACATTTGAAATGACAATCGTCTCCAACAACCTGCATGGAGATTACCAGCTTGCTAACGGATATGGTCATGATCAAGCCAAACAGGTTCTTAAGGTAATCCTTCGATGGACTTCCCACCTGCAATACTAACTTATGCACTTCATTGTCTCTCACTTTCTTGGAACGGCAGAAGCACAGGGACACTTTCATTACGGTTGAAGATTTCAAATTCTTATATAGACACGGGATAAATGCAGTAAGGATACCTGTTGGCTGGTGGATTGCTTCTGATCCTGATCCTCCAGCCCCATTTATTGGGGGTTCATTGGAAGCTCTAGATAATGCTTTCACATGGGCTCAGTTGGGTCTTGCTTTCCCTATCTTTTCTTTTTGGCCGAAACTTCCCATCTCTTCTATTGACACCAACACTGGAAAAAAAAAAAAAAACGTTTGCAGAGCCTATGATATCAGATGCATAATTGACCTTCATGCAGCTCCTGGTTCACAAAACGGTTTTGAACATAGTTCTAGTAAAGACGGTACAGTTGGGTGGCCTACTTCTCAGGACTACATCTCCCAAACACTTGATGTTATAGACTTCCTAGCTTCAAGGTATATCTCATGACAGCAACTGCGACTCTGCTAGGTTACTTGATGTCCTTTTGACTGAATTTGGCATCTGATACTTCTGAGTGGCTTTCTGGTGCAGATACGGAGACCACCCTTCCTTACTGGGGCTCGAACTTCTGAATGAGCCTTCAGCTGCCTCGGTTCCCTTGGACATCTTAGTGCCATACTACTCACAAGGTTACCAGATTGTTCGAAAACAATCGCCTTCTGCTTACGTCATTGTTTGCCAGAGAATTGGCAATGCCGATCCGCTTGAACTATACCAAGCTAACATAGGATCTCACAACTTAGTAGTGGATTTGCATTACTACAACCTTTTCGACTTGTTCTTCGTCAATATGAGTGCTTCTGACAACATAGAGTTTATATTCAAGAGTCGAGAGACCCAATTAGCAGCCCTGAATGGTGCAAATGGTCCACTTGTTTTCATTGGTGAGAGCTCAATTTTCATTATCTTATAACTGTTTGATTCCATGTCAGAGAGTTTGTAGAAGTAACTGCTCCAGAGTTGGCTTGGATGTTTCAGGGGAATGGGTGAATGAGTGGAACGTGACGAGTGGATCTCAGGCAGAGTATCAGAACTTTGGAAAGGCTCAACTTGAGGTTTATAACGCAGCTTCATTTGGATGGGCTTACTGGACGCTTAAGAATGACAGGAAGCACTGGGATTTCGAGTGGAACGTCCGGAACAATTACCTTCAACTTGGTAATCACTTCATTATAGTTCCATGGTATTTGCTCTTATAGAAAAACTTTCATGGAATTGATACGAGAGTCATGTTTATGCAGGTGATTCTCCAGGAAAGCAGAATTTTGACGCTTTAGTATTCCATGGACTGGTCTCTGCCATGCTGTTTCTCCATGCTATTTTATGATGGATCGACAATAGTGGCAAGAAGACTCGAGAGTGAGAACGATACTGATTTTGTACTGCGTTTTTCTTCAACTCTTCGTTCAAAAGCATTTCTTCTGTTGGTTCCTGCAGATTGCAAGACAAATAATCTGTTAAGAGTGACCAGTTTTCCTGCGTACTGAATATGCCCAGTAACACCTTGAAGTTGCATTTTACTACTCTGGAACTACAATCTCAGTGATACTAAGTGGAGAAAAAAGAAGAAGAAATAAGTCTGGTTTATTGCAAAGAAATTGATTTCGAGCATGCCGTTAACCTATGAATTAAGGTGTTCATGAGGGCCATTGCTTGTAGACCAAGCTAGTAATGATGATGATGATGATGATAATAATAATAATAATAATAATAATAATAATAATATATTTTGCAATTGTGATGGAGGTGCTGTCTTGCATGTTCAATAAGGCTGCAATCACTAAGCACTTACCTTTCTCTCAATTTGCTCGTATAGGATTAACACACTTAGTGTTTGCAGATGATTTGTTCATTTTTACCAAAGGAAGTGTTCATGGTAAAAGCTGTAGCTGAAATTTTCATATGGTCTCGAGGTTGAAATGTAACTCAGGGAAAAATGACATTTTCAGTGCTGGGCTGGAAGCAGAACAGAAGCAAAAAGTAATTACTAGTTCAGGTTTCCAGCAAGATTTCTACCTGTTAGGTACTTGGGGGGCTTTTAATTGTTGGAAAGTTAAATTCTAGAGACTGTAAAAGCCCTGGCTGATAAGATAACCAAAAGGATAAAAGGTTGAAAAGCAGCTGCTATTAAATGCTGGAAGATTACAACTTATAGTAGCAGTGTTGGCCAGTATCCCTCAATTCTGGATGGGAGTTTCAGTTGCCAGGTGTTGTCACTTAAGAGGTTGAGAACTTGAGATCTATGCTCTGAATTCCTCTGGTCTTCTAGTTCTGAAACAAAGAAAGGAAAGATTGCTTGACAGTTTATTTCAATGCCAAGGGAAGAAGGAAGGTTAGGTTTCAAAGACATGAGTAGCTGGAACACTGCTTGTTTGGTGAGACATGTCTGGTCTGCTTTGGCTGATCAGAAAACTCTGTCGAGTGCATGGTTAAAAGAATATCGTCTCAGAAACATCAATTTTTGGCAGGTCAAGACTCCTGGTTCCTGGCCATGGAACAAGATTTTGAAGACTCGTGTTGTGGTGGAAGGGAAGATGGTAGTTGCAGGGGAGGATCTGCTGTGTAATAACCAGATAATGGCCAAGTTCTCAGTAAGTAATGTTTGGGAAGAGTTGAGGCCTAGAAAAGAAAAAGGTTCCATGACTTAGCCTGGTCTTGAAACTTTCATTATTCTCAGAAACTCGGTTATAGTATGGCTAATTCAGTGGAATAGAGTCACCACACTAGACATAGTGAAAAAATGGAGGCCTGATGTGAATGATGAGTGCCCATTGTGTATGAGTGGATCTGAGTCTCAAGACCATATATATTTTGACTCAGGTTTGTACAACAGTTATGCAGACTGTTTTCACAAGGGAATGGCAGTATATGCATACTGGGGATTGGCAGAAGGGGATGTTGCTTGCAGTAAATCGTTTTAAGGGATGCAAGTTAGGTAGACAGCTCTGGAATCCTGTTGTGAGTGAAATCTGGCGTGAAATATGTAGAGGGGTGTCTGAGAAGTAGAGCAGGGGAGATCCCATTAAGGCAGCGGTTGGAGGGAAATGGCAAAGGATGTTGACACCTAACAGTAAACTGAAGAAGAAACTGCACAGTACGTATTGACATTGCAGATTTGAAGGGTGGAGATAGAGGAATGGGGAATTCAGTTACCAACATACATGGAAGTTGAACCACCATAATTCCCCAGTGACCGTTAGGTGTAGGACAATGCGCGCCATCTTTGGCCGTTACATACTAGACCTATGTCCATCGAGAGTTACTATTTGACGCCCTAGAATTAAAAAAAAAAACCTATCGAAAATACATTTTACCCTCTCCTTCAATTGATCGAGTCCCCACCTCCATATGAAATTCAACCTCCGCCACATTGGCGGAGCTACAGTGATCATAGGGTGGGCACCTGTCCACCCGGGAATGGTCTCGGTCCCTAGGACCTTAAGGATATATTTAGTAAAATTGTAAGTATACCTGGTCCAGTAGATTACTTTTATCCTAAAGGACACGAGTTCAATTCCTAGCTATTTCACATTGTGCTTTTTGCTCTACAACACTTCAAGACTTCATTATTTTAGTTCCCATCTATAATTCCTGAAACCAAACGGCACAAGCTATCGTCTATTTTTAATCTATGTAAGGAATTAACAAAAATAAGACTGTCAATAAAATTCAATCTTCTTGGTAGGCGGATTTGTTTCTTTTAACTCTTCTAGTTTTCACTACTACAATTGAACATGCATTTTTCGGTCATGAATAGTGAAGAATAGACTACGAAACAAAATGAATGATGAGTTTTGCTGATAGTTTAGTTATTTATATTGGAATAAATATAGCTAAATTTTTTAGTTTACATACTATTTTATTTTGAGTGATTTGTCATAATTATTTTTTATATAGATTTAATTTTTTCGGCGCACCCGGTCTCAAAATTCTGGCTCCGCCCCTGCTCCGCCACCACTTCTGCTAGCTGCTACTATTGGATTCTGCCAACCTTGAGGAAGAAGAAGGATCAAGACGAAGAAGATATCCCATCGCCCAGTCGTCCTTAGAAGAAGGAAGAAGAGAAGTGTTGTTGTCAGATTCTGTGTTCACTCGTTGGACGGGTTGAAAATCAGTCTCCGGTGAGGTTGGGACGAGTCAGCGACCTGTCTCGCCATCGTCAGTGACGAGATTTCAACCCATCCGGCGAGCAGTACGGACGGGTATAGCACGCGTTCCTTCCATCCCTCGCACCCGTTCTAACCTTATTCAGACGGGAATTCAACCCATCCGTGTCGTTAACCCAGAAAAAATGGCGGCCGGCATCCGGCAGGAGCGAGCTATCCCTCTCTGCATCTCCTTATGCTTCCTTCTTTCCCTTTTCTTTTTCTTTTTTAATTTTGTTTCGTGAAAGGATTTGATGGAGACGCACACAAATAGAGATGACAATGGATCGAGTTTTGCCAAACCCAAATCCAAATCTATGGGTTTATCCGTGAAAAAAACTAAAGAAACAAAAATTGATGCGGGAGGAAGAGAGGAAGAGAGGAAGAAGAATGGAGTGGTGTGAGTTTTGGTGGAATGGAGGGGGGAATTTATAGGCTCTGTGGGAGGAAGTGGATCGAGTTTTGTGCCGTCGATCCGCGTCAAAAGTAGTTCGAGCGAAGGCAGATCGAACGACCCGTATCTCGTTTTGAGTACTTGATATACGGTGGAGTGTGTCTGACGTCATCTATCCACGTCTAGGAGATCGATTCCCGAGGATACGATCCGCGTAGATCGAGTTCCACCCACTCGATCCACGTCACTACTGCTTCGCGGATGTGGCCATCGAACGGTCCAAATCGATTTTCGGTAACACGATCTAGGGTAGAACGCTACCCATGTCATCGATCCACGTCAGTTTGATCGAGTCTTCTCTCCTTGATCTACGTAGATAGAGTTTAATAACCTCGATCCGTTTCGTCCTGTTCCAGCCAATCATGGCCCTTTCACTCGATGCACAATTGCACATGGATCGATGACCTAGCAATCGATCTAGTACTAGTTCGAGTTTATTGAAATCGATCTGTACCAAACTTTGGTATTTTGGAAAAAATTTATTAAAAGTTTATGTATTGTAGAATTTTTTTTTTTAAAAATTATCCGAGTAGTTGTTACTTGTTACTCAATCCAACCACTAATGTTGGTAATTGGTATTGATCACTTATGCTTTTCACTACCTAAGGCTTTTACTATTAGGGGTCGTTTGGATGGATTAATTGGTTGTGTGGTATTTGTGTGTTATTTGAGGAGATTGATGATTAGATTATCTGAAGCAAATAGTTGGGTTATTTTATATGTGGTATTTGGTAACAAAAGTAAGAAAAATACCAATCTACCCTTTTTTATCGAGGCTAATCTCATTTATGCCTTTCAAAATCAATTCCAAGCTCCTTTCAACTAGCTTCGTTCATGCATTTTATTGCTCAAGTATGTATATACTACATGATCGACAATATTTACGATTCCTAAGATGTATATACTACAAGATCGACAATATTTCAACTAACTATTTTGTTCTGCCTTCACTCTATCCTTGTCGAGCTTCACAGATCATCAATCCGAATATAAGCTTGATGCTTTCTCCTCTTTTCTATAATCCACCACATAATTTTACTTCCCCGACTGGAAACAAAGTATTGAGCAATGCATTGGCCTGGAGAGAAAAAGATGATCATTAGAGTTCATGCACTTCAACCAAAGCAAGCTACTACATTAGATGAGTTCATTCACTCCCAACAGACCTGCAAAAAGAGTAGTAGCAGGCCAGCAGCAAACTATTAATTAATAAACCTATTAGAGATAAACTAGCTTTGTCCCCGGCCAGTTGGCCGGGTAAATTTCACACCTTATCTTGTAAATTAAGAATTTTATAATTATGTTTAAATAATTATAAATCTTTCTATTATTTATATTTATCAATTCACTCTAAAGAATATATTTGTGGTCACTTGAGATAACTTTATGAGATCGCAACTAAATAAGAGTTGAGTTAACACTAATAGCAATGATTTTCAATGAATTCTAGTACATGCATATTTCAAAAATTTTTGCTAACATTTATCACATACACATATAATTATCTAATTTCCACTCATGCCCTCTAAGAACATCCACATGAGTATAATTCCAAAAGTAATTGGATATATCATATTTATTGTCAACTCAATTTTTTTCAATCCAACTCATATTCATTTCATTTAACTACATCATTACAATTAACTTTTTTTTATATAACAATGCAATTAACTTGGTATTGCATATGTGGGTCTAACTTATTTTTCTAATAAAATAAAACCCCAATAGAAGAAAAAAAATGCTTACAATGACAATTGTACATGAGATTGCATCAAATGATAGATTACATTATTGCAATTGAGATTTCCATAAATGCAATTGCATTTTCATTGCCACATCACTTGCAATCATATTGATGTGGATGCTCTTAGATCTTTTTGACTTGCATATGCAATTGTATTTGTTGCAAGCTTGCAAATATGCAATTGGTAGCCAAATCAATACAGTTGGTTTTACAATTGCGTACACTCATGTCGTGTCATCTTGCAATTCAAAAAACAATACAAATGCGTATGAATATGCTCTAAGGAGATTTGAAAAGTTCGAATTTATTTACGTTTAGATTTGTTAATTAGAACACTCAACTGACCGGCTTTACTAAATTTCAAACTATATTCCTTATAAAAACTAACTTATCCCATGGAATATTATCCGTGATTGGTACAGTAAACCTAAACCAAAATCACACTTTAAATCAGGATCAACATATAAGGGGATTATAGTTTATGATAACTAATTTAAATTTTAAAAATAAGGGTTACCTGTCAAAGGACATAGTTTCGGCTTCTACAGCAGCCGATGATTCCCTGCCGTTGCACCATATCACCGCTGCCGTAATCTCCGTCTTCGTCTCCATCATCAGATTCTTTTTCTGTCCGCATATTCCAATTCCTTCCTACTCTGCATTTGCCGATGCTTCGTCGGCAGCCATCATGTCTTTGTCGATTAGTTTCAGCGTCCGCATGTATCGATCGTTCGGTCCGCACGTCGCTGTTGTGGCCGCCAACCATCCATCAATGACGAACAATCTCAGACGCGTTCAGAGAAACCAACTTTTCAGTGCAATTGAAGTTAGGAGAAGGGGATATTTAATGGGGTTTTCAGGAAAAGAAATTGGAGACAGCACTGCGTCCTAAGGCCTAAGGGCTGATGAAGAGAAAGGGAGGAGTCTTTTTTTCAAAGAAGAGGAAGGAAGAAGTTGGCAGTGGGGAAAATTGGAGGGTTTTGAATGCACATAAAAAATAGAATGGAAGGGCGGAGTAGGGTTGGCAGAAGGGAAGAGAGAGGGGTTGAGGCGACGACTTAGAATTTCTTCGTGGATTACGTGATATAGGGTAAATTGAAAAGCCTTTTAATAATTTTTAAATAAATAGAAAAAAGATCTCCGAAAGTTGCGGGGAGAAGTTCACCGTCAAACTGCTTTATAGTATTTAGAGAGAGAAGAAGAGATAATGACACTTTATCATTGGAGACTAAGTAGCCTCACTTGCATCAGGATACATATATACTGTACTGTATGCTTTGAACTCTGTTTCTCGTCTTGTAGCTTTGGGTTATAAATGTCCTTTTATGCTTAACTAGCAGGGAAGCCCGCGCTTGGTGGCGGGATCAATCTTTAGAGGCATCACTAAAGCTCTTGGACTGGATGACATAGCAGGAAATTGAATTCGGAAGGTTCCAATGCATGAGCATGAAATGAATAGCAACACAATGTTTGTTCCTTTAGACTTAAACCGAAGCAGCAAAATCTATAAAGAAGGGAGAGTTCAGACCCTAAACAACGGAAGACTGCTAAACCATCCACATTAAAGGAACCTATAACGTCAACTACACTTACTGTAGGGTAATAACATTAATGTAGAAAGGCATCTTGGTGATTATTTGGAATCACCAGACATGACATGATTCACAGACTCAGTTTCTTGATTTCATTTGGATATAAGATCCATGTAGACTCGGCAAGCAAGGTGAGTGCGAGAACCTCTTGGATTCAAAGAAGTAAACATCAAGCACACTAATCAATTATTAAATCAAACATCATTGATGTTGCCAACATGCAACCAAATTGTGGGTTTCAAATTCAAAGGAATAGGAGATTTAGAGAGGAGCAGCAGAATTAGGAAGCAAATAGGATGGAAACAAAACCAGCAAAGCATCATGGATTTTACATACCGGGTCCATTAGTTCGTTGGCTCCCCTCCCCCATCTTGTTTCCCAAACGATCCTGCTCATCTCCAAGTCAATGATTTCCAGACACAGCGATTGCATTCCCACACTCTAAACAGACAATTCCCAAACGATCCTGCTCATCTTACTGATCTGACGCACATCTATCTAAAGGACCAACTGGTAAACCGAAGGGATACGATCCCAGGCTTAGAACCCGACATGGATATGGAAGCCAATAAGTGAAGGTTTGAAGCGACAACAGCTTTAATTTGAAGTAGCAAAAATAGAGAATCGATCTATACAAAAATTCCAGGTTTCTTTATTGTTATCGCCGCATTATACAATGACAATGCTATATCATAACTTACAAAATAAGAAGCTGAAAAGCAATAGAGGCTAGAATCGAAATACTACCTTGGGTTACAGAATCCATGTGTTGGAGGACTCGGTAGTGAAGAATAATTAGTTTAGGGACTATAATGTAATATTTGTTTGCTTTCTGTATTTGTTGATTTGTTATATATATATTGTAAATGGACAGTGTAAATCTTTTACCAAATTAATAAAACAAGTAGACCATTTCTCTCTCCAACATGGTATCAGAGGAGAATTCTTGATCTCTCTCTTACTTTCCCCTTTTCTTTCGTTCTAGGGTTTTCATCTTCCGCGTTCTGCTCTGTCATGGCGACTCAATCGGCGCAGTTTCCTCAGGCGAATCAGGCGAATTCCTCGTTCGTCACTCCCGCCGGACTGCTCGATCCCAGCCATCCGTACTTTCTCAATCCTGGCGATAATCCGGCGACTGCTCTGGTCACCGTCGTCTTCAACGGCAACAACTACTATGCATGGGCGAGATCGATGCGTCTCGCGCTCCTGGCGAAGAACAAGCTCTCTCTGATCGATCCCGCGGTCGTTCCTCCTTCTCCAGGCGAGCCTCTTCACAGTGCGTGGGAGCGATGCAACGTCATGGTTCTTGGATGGATCTACAGGTCGCTGGCCCCAGACATCGCTCAAAGCATCCTCTGGTTCGACTCCGCGATCGAGGTTTGGCGCGATCTTCAAGATCGATTCAGCGAGGCGAGCTTGATTCGGATCTCTGATCTCCAGGACGAGGTCTTCTCCTTCAAGCAAGGCACTGCTTCTGTGAGCGAGTTCTTTACTCGTTTTCGCGTTTTGTGGGACGAGATGGTCACTCTTCGGCCGTTCCCAGTTTGTTCTTGCAATCCGAGGTGTTCTTGCGGTGCTCTCACTCTCGTTCGCACATATCAGCAGTCCGATCAAATCATTCGATTTCTCAAAGGCCTCAACGACAGTTTTGCTCAGATACGGAGTCAGATCTTGCTCATGGAGCCACTGCCGTCGATTACTCGCGTGTTTTCACTGGTGATTCAGCACGAGCGTCAAATCGGTTCATCTGGAGCTGGCTCGTTCTCAGGACCTCTTGCAATGGCGGGACAAGCTTCTGGTCGAGGTCAAGGACAAGGTCGTGGGGCTGGTACTCGTCAAAGACCGGTTTGCACTCATTGTGGTGGTGTTGGCCACACTGTTGATCGCTGCTACAAGAAGCACGGGTATCCTCCAGGCTACAAGGGCAAAGGCAAGGTCAACGCAGTCGTGGCTGATGGTTCTGAGGTGTCTCTGCCTACTGAGGGTGTTCTACCTGGAGACTCTGGCTCTGTGGTGCTTACCTCCGAGCAGTATCAGAAACTGCTAGCTCAGGCATCTTCGTCTACGTCAGTTGCGGGCTCAGTCTCTTGTCTCATGGCTGCTCAGCCTGGCCCTTCTACCACAAGTGCCTCTACTTCTTCGGTTGGAGGAACTCAGCCTAGTCAGCTGGCAGCTTATGCTGCTGCAGGTAAGTTGGCTCTGTCTTCTATGGTTCCTAAGTCGTTAGGCGTCCCTAGGAATACATGGATAATAGACAGTGGGGCTACTGATCACGTTGCTTGTTCATTGGATTTGTTTGTTGATTATAGGCCCTTGGTTGGTATGTTTGTCACTCTTCCTGATGGGTCTCGTGTTGATGTTACTCATAAAGGGTCTGTGCAACTGTCTGATACATTACTTGTTCATGATGTGTTGTTAATTCCCTCTTTCTCCTTCAATTTGTTGTCTGCTAGTCAGCTAGCTAAACAGAATGAGTGTGAGTTGATATTCTCTCATTCTCATTGCTTGATTCAGGATATCCCGTCCCGGCAGAGGATTGGTATAGCTAAGCAGATTGCCGGGCTGTACTACCTCCAAGTCGAGTCTGGACGAGAATCCTCTTCTCTCTCTATGCCTATCACTTTATCTGCTGTGTTTGACACAACTATTAGACATTTTGATCGATGGCATTACCGTCTTGGCCATAGTTCAGTTCCAGGTCTTAGTGATAGTAATAAGTGTCAACATTTACATTGTTCTGTCTGTCCTATAGCTAAGCAGCGTCGTTTACCTTTCCAAACTAGTTCTTCCTATGCTGCTAGAATGTTTGACTTGGTTCATATTGACATATGGGGTCCCTATGGTGTTCCTACCATTGATGGACATCGATACTTTCTTACTATACTTGATGATCATTCTAGAAATACGTGGTGTTACTTAATGGTTTCTAAGTCAGAAGCTAGATCTATTGTGCAAACTTTCTGTGCTTATGTGCATACTCAGTTTTCTAAGCATGTTAAAGTCATTAGAACCGATAATGGGTCTGAGTTTTTCATGCCATCCTTTTATAATTCACTAGGAATTATTCACCAAACCACTTGTAATGCCACCTCACAGCAAAATGGCCGTGTAGAGCGCAAGCAACAGCATATTATTGCTGTGGCTAGAGCTCTCATTATGCAAGCTTCTCTTCCGGTTATGTTTTGGGGACATGCAGTTTTGCATGCTGTCCATCTCATTAATCGCTTACCAACTCCAGTCTTAGATAATAAATCGCCATTTGAAATCCTTTTTCAAAAACAGCCTGATTACAATGTGTTACGAGTTTTTGGTTGTTTATGTTACGCGTCCACATTAGCTCATAATCGTCCTAAATTCTCTCCTAGGGCTGAACCTTGTGTTTTTCTTGGATTTCCATTTGCCACAAAGGGATATAAATTGTATAGCTTGGTTTCTCACAAATTCTTAGAGTCTAGGGATGTTTCATTCCATGAGAATATCTTTCCTTTTTCAAATAATGGTCTGTCCTTACAATCCTTAGATCAGGTTCTGCCTTTCATTGACATTCAGCCTGTAGAAAGTTCAGTTCCACCTTCTTTAGTGACTCCTTCTCTTCCAATTACTACTAATTCCCCTGCTTGCATCTCGGCCGACATTCCAAACAGCCTACAGTCATCCTCTCCATTAGTAATTCACCCTAACAGCAATGATCAAACAAGTAGTAATGTTCCTCTTAGGCGTTCTGATAGGGTTAGGGTGCCTCCCAAGAAATTAAGTGATTATGTAAGAACTAATGCTAAAACTAAGTATCCTATTTCCCAAGTTCTTTCTTATGACAGGCTGTCTCCTACTTATCGACGATTTGTTATGGCTATTCACAATGAAACAGAACCAGCTACCTATGCAGAAGCTGCAAAAGATCCACGGTGGGTTGAGGCGTGTGATTTAGAACTCCTAGCATTGGCTAACACCAATACTTGGACTCTAACTCCATTGCCTCCAGGTAAGCGTGCAATAGGAAATAAATGGGTATTTCGTATTAAGTTTAAACCTGATGGTAGCATAGAACGCTATAAGGCAAGGTTAGTTGCCAAGGGTTATACACAAACTCCTGGTCTGGATTATTTGGAAACATTTTCCCCTG